AGGAGATTGTTGGCAAAATTTGGGTCATGTATATATATGATACATAATTTAAATGTGTTACGGTCATTATTTATTAAGCAAAATAATAAAATGATATGACTAAATTAAAAAGTTTGTCTAAAGGCATATGTCATGAAAATAAAATTGTGTGTAGAGATCATAGAGTAATTTCTAATTTGATGAGGGACCAAATTAGAAATACTAAAACTTAAGTAATTAATATAATTCTGATTATTTTAAGGGGTCATGGTCTCCTTCTGGGAGCACGTAAACAAAACATAAGTTTCACTCCCGTTCCTTTCTTTCTATCCCCATCAAGAGAGAAAATCAAGAAGAAAATACAAATGCTCTTCAGGTAGAAGACCATAAAATCAATATAGTACTCTATAAAGACATCATCATTATAACTAATTCAGATACGCTTTCACATATAGTTTATAGTATGTTTATCAATATGGGATTACCATTATTATTAAGAATATGTAAGTTTTTTATTTTATCCCTCTTAAATTTATATATTTAAATTTGTTAATTACTATTTAAAAATTATTTAAAAGTATATAACTATATTATTTAACTTAAATAAATTTATTATTAATTTATATTATTTAAAAAATAAATTAGTCCACTTACTTATATCTTAAATCTACTACTAACCAATATATACATTCACCTATAATTTATTTATTCATATATTGACCTATTTTGACAGTGTCTTGTTCCCTTCCATATTAAGGTTTAAGATATAAGAGGAAAATTCAATTAAAAAAAGTAATTCAGTTTTTAAAAAAGAAAAAGTCCAAACTAAAATATCACTTATAACTTATCGTATTCAATATGAACTCCTAACAAACCATCATTCTCACTTTTGACTACTTAATTAATCATTCTTCACTTTTGACTATTTTATTAATCGAATAATGTTTACCCGTCTAACCAATCTAACCAACCTCCACTCTTGATTCTGAACACTCTTGACACCTTTTCCATTTAATATTGGGTAATGAGATCCGACTCAAAAACGTTTTCCACTATGTAATAGAATTAGGTTGATTAGTTAATTGGAAAGTACAAATTGTTTAAGATTCAATTTGACCCCACGAATGCAATTTCCGTTAAGAGCAGCGCCAAGTGTCAGGGGATCTGCATGAAGAGGAGAAAACTGTAAATTAGTCAAATAACAATGATCCAATGCGATCAGATCCACAGAAGGTGCAATTTGCGTACGTGTCAAATTGTGTTGTACTGAACGTCTGCGTCCCCATTTTGGTTAGTTCAAATTCATTCATTCCACTTTTCCACTATGTAGGGTATAATGCAAACTCGCAGAGGCCCACTGGGCCCCCTGCAGCCCAATTAGGGGATTAAAATAACCAAAAACTCTATAATTGGCAACCCCGTAGGGCCCACACTCTTACCACCAAACCAATCCCATGATGTGGTGAAATCAGTGTATCACTTGCTGGAGTCAATGGGAGACCACCACGTGTCAGTCCCACCTCACCTTTTTGGTCACCGCTTTGTGCCACACGATAAGGTTATCCTTCTCTCATTGGGTGATTGCGTCCACGTCGATTTCACTTTTTCTTCCGCATCTTACGTACCTGCCGTCATTCGTGGGTTGTGCCCGATCCATTTTAGTGCCAGTCGGGTCTAAGTCAAACTTGTCTACTTATGAAAATTATTAATATTAACATACTAATAGTTACGTACATGCATTAACATACTATTTAATAATATTATGAAAATTAATTATATATTACATTTAATAATTCTAATAATTAATACAATATAAAAATGTACAAGTATTTTAAAATATCTGGTTTTTTTAAATAGAAATTAAATTAGATATTTATTGATAAAGAAGAATACAAATATTATTACAAAAACAATATATCTTAAATAAATTGGCACCTTTATCTTTATCTTTATCTTTATTGTCACCTATCTAGATATTTTAATAAATATTGTATACAAAATTAATGTGAAAATTAGACTGAAATTCATGAAAAAAAAACAAGCAAATGAATTGTATATATTTCTACAGAAAAATATAATAAAAACAGGATAATTTTTCGACCAAATAGAATTATGTTCAACTAGTTTACTAATATATATTAAATTTCTTCAAATCTGAAGACCTTAAAGTTAATGGTAATAATTGAAAATTTTATTGATCAAAACTTTCTTCTACAATCTTTTAGAAACATAAAGTTTATAAACAAAGTCATGTTTTAGCAAAATATTATTTAAGCTTTGTTGTTTTTAATGATTATCCTTACGAACATTTGTATTAATATATATTATCCAGTAATTTTTCATCAAACCCATAAATTATCATCTGCATGAAATACAAATGACGTTGCTCTAATTTTATTTCCTTTAAAGTCAATTATAATATTTATATATTTTAAAAATATTTTTTATCTAACATTGGATGCTTTATTAGAATCATTAAACTCGAAGAAAATAAATTATTAGAAAAAGAAGATTATTTTAAAAGCAAATTTATATCTTTTATAAACCAGACCCTGATTCGTTTGAACGCAAAATAAATTTGTAATATGATTATTCTTTTTAGGATCAGGACACATTTGATTTTATTTTATTTTTGTAAAGAGTCTAAGACACATTTTAGTTTTTTATTTTAATTTTTTAAAGAATAATACAATTTTATGTATATTAAATTTATACAATTCTGTAATAGTTAAACCTTATGTAATATTTTGAAAAAAAAAACAATAAGACTCATTTTAAAAAAATTGTATATTTATTTACAATATATTAATTTATTATAGCATTAAATTATAATATTCAACAATAATAATTAAGTCTTAATTGATATTACATTTCATTACAGCTTATTTATTACAATTAAAGTAATTTATTAACATTGAATAATTTAAGTTTAATAGTTTTATTATATTTAATAATATTATTAAAAGTAATAATCATAATAAGTAATACTGTATTAATAACATTAATTAGATGTTTTTGTAATATCTTTTTAATGTTTATTAAAAAAAACAAAACAAAAGTGTCATGCATTATAAACTATTGGAGGGAAGTGTACTTCCCAACATAGGAGAGATCAATGCAATAATAGATTTTTTAGCCACCTGGAGTATAATTTTTTATTTATTTATTTTCTAATGAAATATAATTTATTTCAATATTCCTTAACACTTAAAATTAAGAAAATTAATGTAATTATTGAAAATAATAAATTTCATTTATCATTTAAATTTAATTTTTTAAAGGTGTCCTTATGATTTTAATTTTTTTTATATTACAAATAAATAGAGTATGTCATGTTATTTTACTATATGATTTTTCATTTACAATTTACTGTTTTCAATCCCTAATTTTATTATTTAAATTAGCACAATTGCTTTAGAGTAGAAGATATGGAAACTAAAACTTTTAAAGAATGAAAAAAAAAAGTAAATTTATTTTGAAGGAAAAAAGAAATTTTTAATATTATTTTTATTTAATTTATATCCATAATAAATCACATGGTTTTAGTTTTTATTTAACAAGTGAAATGACTTATTATAGTTTTTATTAATTTAGCGGAAAACGTATATTATCTATGACAGTAATGATAATATTCCGTTTTTGTTTCCAGATTTATTTTATTTTTTACTTATTTTACTCTTGAAACTGCACATTATAATTGATTTTACTTTTAATTTCTATTTAATTTTTATTATCTTTTATTTTCTTAAACTTTCTATGTGTCTAAACGCTATAATTATTTAATATGATTTTTATTTCCTATTCAATCTTTCTTCCTTTCTTATATACTGCCAATATTTCTTCAATTATATTTTTATATTTACCTAGAAAAGTAAAAGTTCTATTCAAAAGAAAAAAGCGGGCATGGAGCTGGTAAACCCGACCCACTATAAATTAGAGTGGCTAACGTTGAAATGAGACACAGAGTTAGCCACAGAACGCTCCAAAGTCCAAACTTTGTGACAAGAAGCGTGTGAAACTCAGAACCAGACAGTTCTGTTTTATCACACAAGAGAGTGGTCTCAAATGCCGTAAGAGGCGAGGAGAGAGGATTAGCACAGCAGAGAGAGAATTTTTCTATTCAAAAAGGTACATTTTTTTTCTTTTTATTTTTCTGTAAAGGAAGAAACAAAAAGACAAGCAAAAAAAAAAAGTAGTATTAAGGCTCTGGAAGAGTGGAGAGAGTTTGGTGGGTCAGATCATATGGTGAAAGAAATTGCTCTTAGTGGCCGTTGTTAGTTTTTGCTCCTTCCATGATGTTGATGCCTTCAACCATTTTTTCAATTAATGGGAACCTCGTCTGAGTGGGTCACAGCAGCACCACCCAACATAGGTGTGTGTGTGTGTGTGTGCATATATATATATATATATATATATATATATATATATATATATATATATATATATATATATATATATATATATTTATCTTTTCATTCATGCTCTTTGTCTTAGTGGTTGGATTTTCGTGTAGGTTAGGGAAGATAGTACGTAGATAGACAACATGTTTGACCAACTTCAAAATTTAGTGCTGTTTTTGTGCTGGAATGAATGAATGAATGGGTGGAAAGTCGTCGAAAACACTGTTTGTTGGCTAGTATTTTCTTTGGTGACAGCCGCAACTCTATTCTTTCTTCCCGGGGGGGGGGGTGTTGTTTGGATTTGGATCTTCATTAGGTGAGTTTTTGTTATTTTGTTGTATCTGATCAAAAGGTTCTTTTGTTTTATTTTGTTTTGTCTTATTTAAGTTGATGTTACTTTGATACTGAATATGACTTTTGTTTTTGTTCAGTTAGTTTTGGTAGAACAAGTTTTGCAGTTGCTGGAACCTGTTTCTGACACTTGGATAGGAATAAAGGCAATTGTTTTGCGTGATTTGCCAGTGTTTTCAGTTTAGTGGTTTTCTGAAGGATTAATATTTGAGAAATAGGAAGTAAGGAGGAAAGAAATAAGCTCCACTTCAAAAACATAAGAGTTTAGTCATGTCTGTGACAGTAGTATGGGTTGCTTCCTTCCCTGGTTTGGAGGTTTCGCGTTCCACCGGGTTACTTGATTCTATCCAACATGTGAAGTTCTTAGATTCTTCAAAGGTCATGTCTCAAAATTTTGGGTCGATTAGAGCTAAGGAAAAGGGGAAGAGATGGAGATTCTACTCTCTGAGTACAGATGTGAAGTATGCATGTGTTGGACGGTCTGGCTTAGAACGTGCTAGCAACTACCCTCTGGTCGTGAATGTGCTAGCAAATCCAGCGGCGGGAGAAGTGGCTGTTTCATCAGAGCAGAAGGTCTACGATGTGGTGTTGAAGCAGGCATCTTTGGTTAAGAGGAAGTTCGGCTCTAAGGGTGAAATTGATGCAAAACCAGATATTGCTCTGCCTGGGAATTTGAGCTTGTTGAATGAAGCATATGACCGTTGTGGAGAAGTTTGTGAAGAATATGCTAAAACATTTTACCTGGGTTAGCTTTCTCTTATCTCTCCTTCATGTGAGGATGTCAACTTTAGATTACATTTGAGTTTGTGACATGGTTTGAGTCCAATTTACATGGGATTTTGTCTCGCAGGCACTCTTCTAATGACTCCTGAAAGACGAAGAGCTATCTGGGCAATATATGGTGAGTGATCATGCACTTTTGGTTGTTAGGATCGAGCGCTTACCACTAGGCCAAAAGCTATAGCCATTAGTCAGAGCGCAACTCTTTTTACTTTAACAGCCCAAGCGCCACGATTCAATTGTGACTCGGCCCACCTGACCTTCGTCACAGGACAATTGATGCTACCTGCAACAATCTCCCCCTCAGCAATTGTCCTACAAGGTATCCCACTCTTGGATTGTGACTTGGCCCACCCGGCCTCTGCCACGGGACAATTGTGCAACCTGCAACAATCTCCCCTCAACTATTGCCCACCAGGAATCGAACTCGTGACCTTGGCTCGATACCAATTGTATCGAGCCAAGGTATCGAGCCAAGGTCACGAGTTCGATTCCTGGTGGGCAATTGTTGAGGGGAGATTGTTGCAGGTTGCACAATTGTCCCGTGGCAGAGGCCGGTGGGCCAAGTCACAATCCAAGAGTGGGATACCTTGTAGAACAATTGCTAAGGGGGAGATTGTTGCAGTAGCATCAATTGTCCTGTGACGAAGGTCAGGTGGGCCGAGTCACAATTGAATCGTGGCGCTTGGGCTGTTAAAGTAAAAAGAGTTGCGCTCTGACTAATGGCTATAGCTTTTGGCCTAGTGGTAAGCGCTCGATCCTAACATTGGTTAGGGTCTCTTTATCTCTGTAGACTATTTTTATTATATTGTTTTATTATATTCATACTTGTTGGCTTTCCTTTTGATTAGAATTAGCTGTATTGCAAAAGAAATCTACTTTAAAACTCTGACAGAAGTTGGAATCACCACAAGCAAATACTTTAAGAAGACTTTTCATAAACTCTTCTTGAATTAAGAGTTATTGTAACAACATAATTTATTGGTTTATAGAATGCACTAAGATGGTTTATTTTTACTCAATTAGGGTTCAAACTCCATATCTAATTGTAGTATCTAACCAAGATGTTAAAAGCGTAAGAAGCAAGGTTTTGGTGTCCAGAAAGTATATTGCCTTACTATATACTTGATAAAATCTTTTTTAGACTTTCAGGGTAGTTTATGTTCCAAACAAGAACTAGCAGACAGTTTTGCTGTAGGGATCCTCGGGCTTGAAAATCTGGATTTTCAATTAACATGTAACCTAATTATATAGGCATAAAGGTTTGAATTAGTCCTCTAAAGTTGAAAGAGCTGTCTTTGTTTCTTCTAAACTTCAAAGGAACTAGTGGCAACGTCCATTCCTTAGTGAAACTTGATTATTGCATGAAAATTTATCTGACCAAATATGTAAATGAGAAGTTCATCGTATTATGTGCAATATAAATTGACAAACCTTTAAAGTGAGCAATCAATAATGAAGCTTTCACCTTCAGATAATAAAATTCCAAAAGCACAGTGGCCTTACTCTAATCTCAGTCCAAGTGCTTAAATTGTTAGACATTTTCACCTGTAAAAATGTCTGAAAGGATGAGGATAAGCTGTGGTAGTGCTTAGGGATTCATTAGTGATAATCTGCTTGTGCTTTATGTTGTAATGTATTACATATCTTTTATCAGATAATTGTGCAAGACTGTAAGACCAAATTACTCTATTGCCTTATATTGCACCCTGTTTTTCAGTGTGGTGCAGGAGAACAGATGAACTTGTTGATGGTCCTAATGCCTCACAAATTACACCAACTGCTTTGGATAGGTGGGAATCAAGATTAGAAGAACTTTTCCAAGGTCGTCCCTTTGATATGCTTGATGCAGCTTTATCAGATACAGTTGCCAAATTTCCTGTTGATATCCAGGTATGGATCCATTTCCTTAATCAGATAAGATATTCGCTGGAAATTCATTGCTAATCTATACATTGACACACACGTGATATAAGCGTGTATTTTAAAGCAATTGGAGATTTGGAGGTGATTATTATCTTTTTGTATTATTGTTACTTACATAACTTTGCTTTTTTATCATCACACCACAATTTTCATTCATATATGTTGTCTTTGATGAGATTGAACTCTGCTTGCTCTGAACTCTTTCATTAGTTCAGTGATCAGATCTACGTTTTATCTTCCAATGCATACCTTTATGGGGAAGAAAATAGCAAATGTAGTCTGTATCCTAAATTATCTTTCCATGTTGTCCAAATAAGAGTTCTTAATTCCTCAAGCTACTAATATGTTTGATTCTTAATTTGAATTCCATAACACAATTCAATCTCAAGCCATTGGAGAAAAAAAATTATATACGGGTTGTGCATTTTAATTTTGAAATGCTGTTTTTTTTTTTTTTTTTTTTCTGAGAATAGCACTACTTGTCTTTACTATTAATATCTTGTAAACCTCCAAGGTATTTTATGTGCCCTCACATGATTTTTGTGAAACCTTCAATTAGATTTCATTACTTACAAAAAATGAGTTTAATATATTCTTTTAGAGGAGTTATTTTTCAATTCTTTTTATTCATGTCCATGCAGCCATTTAAAGATATGATAGAAGGAATGAGAACGGATCTTAAGAAGTCGAGATACAAAACCTTTGATGAACTATATCTTTACTGTTACTATGTTGCTGGGACAGTCGGTATAATGAGCGTTCCAATCATGGGCATTTCACCATATTCACAAGCTACAACTGAGAGTGTATACAATGCTGCCTTGGCCCTGGGAATTGCAAATCAGTTAACCAACATACTCAGAGATGTTGGAGAGGAGTAAGTCCATAAATATTAATGTTTATTTAAGTCTTTAGAAAGGTTATGAAGGAAACACTTGTAGAATAAAAAAGGTGAAGCTTACTTCTCCCATTGTAACCATTGTGATATTGTCCATTAGACCATTACAAGTCAATGTCTAACTTGATTTTAGATGATTATGAGATGCATATCTTAACGATACACAGGATATCTGGACTGTATTATCTCATCAAAAAAGAAAAGTTTGAGATGTATACAAGATGCAGTATTTATATTAATGTTCAAGCTCACCGGGTCTTTCTGTAACTCCTTGTTCTGGACTTGTAAAAACTTGTAGACGAGTTTCTTTTATTGTTAACACATTAGTAAGCCATTCATGCTATGTCTGGTTTGGGTTTCAGGGTGTCCTTATCCTTTCTCCAGTCCAAAAAGCTTAAATATGCTTCTCTGTGATTTGTTAGGATTTACTGGCGCTGTGATGTGTAACTTTTTTCTTAATTATTTATAAAATTGACATGATAGGCATCGAAACTTGACATCCCAAACTGTGATGTCTAACCTGATTAGCTAGAAAAAAGAAAATTAGGTGGCTGAAAATTTAAAAATTATAGTGGAACTGATACCAAAATAGGCTTCAAGGATAGTTGTGTTAGGTACTGGTTTATTCTTTATCTCTAATCCAAGATTTTATTGAACTGAAAATACCATGTTGGTTTATTCAGATACTGATTTCAAAAGAATGAATCTACATTTTAATTTGGTTACACCCTTCTTATCACATGCTCATTTTTTAACAGTGCCAGCAGAGGAAGAGTGTATCTACCCCAAGATGAGTTGGCTCAAGCAGGGCTTTCTGATGATGACATATTTGCTGGTAAGGTGACAGACAAGTGGAGGAACTTCATGAAGAGCCAAATTAAAAGGGCTAGAATGTTTTTTGATGAGGCAGAAAAGGGAGTAACAGAGCTTAATGAAGCTAGCAGATGGCCGGTATGAAATTCTAAACATTTATCATTCAATAAAACCTTTTCAGTGCTTGAAATTTTAAAAATAAACAATAAATTCATTTTGCAAGTATTTTTCCTCTTTCTTAAATGGTCCCTATAGTAATTTCAAGTACTAGAAATCATGTTACATAGTCTCCAAAATTTTGAAAAACCCACCAAGTTGGTCCTTGGAGGATAGTAAAATATATTAACATAGGAGGAATCAAACTGATGGATATTCAATACTCCGGGAATTATTTATGTAGTTTTATTATTTTAGGGCCTACTAAGACACATGCAAAGCTTTTCAGAATCAGTGGGGGTGGGCCTGGGGAAGCTTAAAGAAACATTTTTGGGGTCAAAATATTTGTTTAACAATGACAGTCACACACATTCACACACACACTAATTAAAAATCTGAACTTTAATCTAACAGATAAAGCTTTGCAGTGAGTGTCAACAAAAAATATATTTATTATTGGTTATGTTCTTACGTGTCTGCGTACGAGTCTGTAGACAGGTCTAATGGAGTGACGCCATTGTAACTAACTTTGTTTTGCCAATATAATAACAGTGCAATGTTGAGTGTGGAATAATAAATTTTTCAGAGCTACCCTTATGTGATAAAAGTGAGAATACACGCATTCCTAGAAAGATTATGGCAATTCTAGAACCAAAATGGAAAAAGGGTCAAGCCATTGGCTTAGGCTAATGGTTTTTTTTTCATGCATTATTTGACTTCTTTGACATGTGAACACAAAAGGGTGCTGTGGATTGTAGGTATGGGCGTCCTTGCTATTGTATCGCCAGATTTTGGACGAGATTGAAGCTAATGATTACAACAATTTCACCAGGAGGGCTTATGTGGGCAAAGCCAAGAAGTTTCTTTCCTTGCCAGTTGCTTATGCTAGATCTATGGTTCCTCCATCAAAAAAATTATCTCCTGTAATGAAGACTTGAATCCAATGCAATGTAATGTTATGTGGGAAAATGGATTATAAGGACCACAAAAAATGGAAAAGCACAATTTGTATATGGTCAAATAAGGCATAGTTTAGTCAATATATTGGATTTTGATATTCATATTCCCCTTTTGTGAAAAAGAAGTTTGGAGTAATATATTGTTATTTTTGCATGGTTCATTTTGATGCGAGTTTTGAATTATTTGAACTGATCCACGTTTTCTTATCGTTATTACAATTATAATTGGAAAATTTAACTTTGAATTACTTTTTTTTTTAACTAAACTGTATTTCAAACTTTTTGAAATTGATATTTCCATTAGAACAATCATACTCTGTAGTGTTTCAATTAAATTACAAACACACTACATGAATAAGGCATTTATATGTTGAATGAAATATAATTTAGCTATAATATTTACAAGGGATATAATTTGACTATAACAAACCAGCATAATAACATATCAAAAAGAAAGTTTTTAAAATATTTTACACAACCGAGTTCATGGTCATAAAAAACTACCATTAGATTAATGTCCTCACTCAATATGCTCAAGTATTTATATTGTTCAAAAGCACATTAAAAATAAATAGGCCTATTAGCTCAGCTGGTTAGAGCGTCGTGCTAATAACGCGAAGGTCGCAGGTTCGAGACCTGCATGGGCCATATATTTTTTAGTTTTTTTGGACTTTAACTAAAAGTGTCTAATATGATTTTGGGCTTTTTTTTTTTTACACTGAAAGACTTTCTGAGTTTTTTCGGATTTTACCTAAAAGTGTCTAATATGATTTTAGGCCTTTTGTTTTTAGACTAAAAGACTTTTTGAAGTTTTTTTTATTTTTTTTTAAGAATTTACCTACAAGTGTGAAACATTTTTTTTCTTATTTTAGCTAAAGTTGTGTAACATCGTTTTGATAGGTGAAAAGAATGTGTGGCAACTTAAGATCTGTTTGGTTTGATATAAATCACATTACTTTCACTTTGTTTAACATGTTTTCACCGTCACAGCCGAAACCAGGAGTCCAAATGATTTGAGATTATTCAATAATTAGATTATTTTATTCCGCTGCCATTATTAAGAATTTAGAGTGTTTAGAAAATCTATTAAACCGAACACATACACACAAACTTTGCTAAAAGTTGTGAAAATATAACTCATTACTTTTAAATTAACATGAAAATCAAATCTCAAACATGTAATATGATAGTGTTGATCAGTAATTTGATTTTTATCTACAAATGAGAATACCACAAAGTGATTGATTGATTTAAGGACAACTAAAATTGGTTGGGAAAGAGTTGAAATTCGTGCGAGGATGACGTGGCTGAATAGAGGCCACTGATTTAACGGGGGCGACGCTTAGATTCGATGTAGTCTTGAAGGGCTTTGACTTGCTCTTGGGAAGGGGGTGTTTGGTTGTTCTTGATGGATCTATGGACATCATAGGTTGTTGATGCAAAAAACAGAAGCCTGATATGTTAAGACTTCCACGTTTCAGCGCGTTTATAAAGAACAATTTAAACCAACGCTAGAAAATTGAATTGAAGGAGAATGTTTGTACACATACCCAGAAGCAAAAAGTATAATTTGGCTTGGAAAAACGTGTTTGCCGAAGATCCTCATCGCATTGTTTATTGCCTGCCTCACCGCGCTTCTGCCTCTGCCTGCAAGACTGCAACCCAACGCGGAAAATGCTTGAAACTCATTAATTTTGTTTTCCGTACTATTTATTTTGTTTGTGTATTGAATTCAATCCCGAGCCATTAAATATTTGACTTGGACATGATTCAACAAGGATATTTCTTTATACACCCCCAAAACTCACCTACCACCCCTTTAAATAACTGATCAAAAGTCAGGTAAATATTATATTTTATATCATGTCAATTTATTTTATTTTTAATCAATTTTTATTTTAAGGAAGTTATAAAAAAGTAACAAATAAATTGTTTGAAAAATTGAATAAATTTAAAAAAATTATTACAAAAAAAATCTAATTTAATTTAATTAGATTTAACCAATACAAAGAAATATAAATTTTTATATTTTATTCAAATTATTTATATAAAGATAGAAACATGCCCAAAAAATGAACTATGAGTTCAGAATAATGATTTGCGTGCACTATTTTTAGACTTTCTTTGACCTTGTTGCCAGATGCAACAAAAAACATTGTAATACGTCTAAGCTTGTGTCGATCTTGCTTAGCAGCACCAAAACCAGAGTCTAGAGCAAAAGCATTGTATAGACAATAATAGAGTATTAATTTGACCACACATTTCATGTCCCTCTATCTTATATATTAATAAATATACTTTATTAATGGACACATTTGATCACAATTCTTATTTACGTCTCACATACTTATTAAAAATTTAACCATAATAATAGTAGTATTAAAATTTGAACACATTCAACCAGTGTTTGAAATTTCATATTTCCTGGAAACCAATTCTTAAGATAAAAAAACACCATTAATAGAATTTGAATATAAGTTATAAAGTATTATTATGTGTTGCTATAAACACTTAATCATAAAATTCTATAATAATCCAAAAGATCTTTGAATTTTAAAGATATTTGTATTTTAGTCAAAACTAGACTGCACTAAATTTTCAGTTGTTGTTATCATATCGGTCTCTTCTTTCATTCTGAGCTTACAACAGTTACAAACATCATCTTGCTATCTTTTCTCATCTTGATCGTCCTCAATAATAAAACCATTCATTTTGTTATGATTCCAAGTCACTCGTTTCCTTCCTTTGCAAACCCCATTCATTATATTCACACCCAAGCCAACGCGCTTCTCCTCCTCCCCTCTAATTTTAAACTTCATTCTTTCTCTTCCCTTTGGCAGTTCCATCCTTGTGACTTTCTCTTCTTTTCCATTCACGTGATTGCTCTGTGATACGACGCTGTTTTCGTCCCCAGCAAGTGAGTGTTCCCACAATTTCTCACCACATTTCCTCTCCTTAACTAAAACCTGATCACAGTTTTGCTTAGGAAAATGTGGGAGCCATCTTGGTATGTGAGATTTGGATTGGTTAGAGATACACATTGATGTACCAGAATCAATGGTTACTTCGGAAACATTTCGCAATTGAATCTGGTTAGCAAAAGGAACTTTAACAGAGTTGTTGGCAAAATTCATAATCTCTTTTAGAGCTGAAGACCTCAGCAGGTCACCTTTATGCATCGCCGAACCACCCAGAAATCCTCGAACAGAACACAGATCATGAATACCATTGATGACGTCAAAGAGGTTGGAGTCAGTACGATTGGAGGTATTAGCAAATGAGGCAGCTGATCTCACAATGGTTTCCAGATATCTTGTGGAAACAGCAGTTAAGGTTTCAAGAGCATTGTTTTTGGAGGTTTTGAATCCGACTGATTGACAGATTTGAGCTACTGCAATTTTGGCTATAGCAAATGAGAATTCTGAGGGGTTTTCTGCTACTTGAGCATCCTTTAGTCCCAGACCCTTCTTTCTTTTTACCCTTCGGGGTAGTTTTGATGTGGCTATTGTGTTGCTGTCCTTTAGCATAGGGTTCATGGAAATATAATTAGAAAAGGAATTATAAGAGAGATAGTTCTCAGAACAGTAGAAGAACACCGATGTTACAATTTGTCCCTAATACGAAAGAGAAGCACACTAACTCTTTTCCTGCAATCAGACCAAAAAGTATAATAAAAAAATTGAATTAAGGATAACACTTAGAAATGACGAAACATACTCTAAAGTTTCTACATACATGTGCATTGCAATTTGTTCATTCCATAAAAGATTGAGATTCACAAGTTCTAGCAAGTAACTTCGACATATAAGCATTCAACTTATAAGCAGACAAAAACAGACAAAAAAAAGTGATAGTATGATCAATATCTTAATCCATAAACACCACGAAAATTAAATCCATAAAATCATAAAATTAAAGCACTTCCATGGAACAACCCCAGGGTTCGGGGAACTGGTAGAAACTACATTGATCAAAGAGAAAAATAGAGGCACATCCAAAAATTGTTCTGAGAATCTGAAATGTGAAACAGCAACAAAAGAAATAAACGTGACCAATAATGACTAACAAAGAGGGCATTCCAGTTCATTAACTGACAACCCCACAAAAAAGACAATTTTTGCAGTCTCCTTCACACCGCCCCATCATTCCCTTTTATCACTCTGCACCCATCGTTCAATTAGGATCATTCATAAACAAAACAAAATAAAATAACAATCAACCCAACAATGCACACAGTTAAAAAAACATGAGATATATATCACAATAATGTAATATCCCAAATTAATTTTGAATCACGGAGATCATTGTTTCAAAACCTGTTGTAATACAGCAAGAAACACCCTATGTGGATGAATGGGGGAAGAGATGAATGAAAGAAAAGTAAAACGAAAAAACAAATTATTCGTTGAAACCTTACTGGTTATGCAAATACAAACTGCGCGGTGCCCTCGTTTGCCATTACCGTACTCCTCCGCGGCAACTGAGAAGGTTAAGCGCAAAAAAGTATTTGTTTATGTGGGGAACACTCACATCACTATTAATTGGGTCCTATCTGGACTTAACGGGCTTCTGGGCTTCTTCTACCAAGGATTGTAAATTTTTTGTTTAGCTTTTCATTTTAAGTATTGAAAATTGAAAAAAAAAACTAAAAAATTATATCTTTATTCGCATAAAATATAATGAATATTTATAAAAAAAAATCAAATATAATGAGCAAGTAAGATTATCTTACTAGTTATTTATTTAATTACACCATTTAATAAATATTTGATACATATTAAATAGTATTGATTTCTTCATAAAATATTTTGATATGATCAACCAAGAAATAAGGATTAATTTCTCGATATGTTGTTATTTAAGAATTGCCAGCTTAATAATTGAAGATGTTATTTTATAAAAAAATATATATATTTATTCACTTAAAAAATAATGAATACTAATAAAGGATAAATGTAAAGTAAGATTAAGTTACTGGTTATTTTTTAATTAGATAATTTAATAAATCTTTGGTACATATTAAATAGTCTTCATTTTATCATAATATATTTTGATACTGTGAACACGATTACCTAAGTTTTATGTAACTAGTTTGAATTTCTTTTTTATTCGTAAAGATAAAAGACGTATCAGTGAATCACAACAAATCTAGCGTATATATTATGAGCTTAAATATATTTCTTTATTATTTTTAATTTTACAAAATATATATATATATATATATATATATATATTATGAATTTTTTTTCCATAACCAATAAATATATATATAGTTATCTAAGAGTTGACAACTTACATAATTAAAAAGGTGATTTTATAAAAGATAATTATAAGGATTCTTTAAAAATTGATTATTTTTTTACTAGATATTGTATGCCTTATTTGTTAGAAGAAATCTATTAAAGTTTGAAAAAAACTAGTATAGGCGATAAACTTTGTATTAGAGTATTTTAATGTTTAATATAACAAATCATGACGGGCTTAATTATATTTTAAGGAGAAGATAAATTATACTTCATGCATCTAATCTGATCTAATGTCATACTTTAAATAATTTTCTTCATTTCTACCATTTAACTATGTGTAAACTTTAATATATTACATTATTAAATTGAGTTCACTGGATTTTATCATGAGTTTTTTTAGTTTGGTTCGAGTTAACAAAGTCTTGAAACAAATAAGGTTACAAACAAGTCTATCATTCAAACAAAACCTAAAGTATTTATTCTAATTGTATGCTCATATCTCCAAATTAATACCATTTTAAAATTAAAACAATCTCATGCTAGTTGATCCAATTGATCAAAAGGTGAAGTTGAAAAATATGCAATATAAAAAAATTAGAAGTAGTCGAAAAATAAATTAAACCAATAAATATGTACATTGTAAATTAATATTGTTTTGATATATCATTACAAATTATAAAACTTTAAATTATTATCATTTAATTGAAAGTTTTAATAATAATAATAATACTAAAAAAAAGAACATAGATATCAAATTCTCATAATTAATTATATAAATTTCAGTTTTTATTTCAAACTGGAGTTTTTTTTTTTTAATATTAACAGTTTTCTTTTAGAATGAAACTAATTAAATCACCATTATGTGCCACTAAATACATTTTTAAAGACTTACTTACTAACATCAAATAATCTACCAAAAGAACTAAAAAACCCTTGGATCATATAACTGTTAATTTCATCCCTTTCAAACAAACAAAGCAGTTTGATTAGGAATGGAGGTGGTAGGGGTTGATCTATGAGGTGGGATTGGAGGTCTTCTACCCATGAACTTCTCACTTCCCCTTTCAGAACCATGCCTAGAGATGATACCGCTAGAAGAACTACTGCAATTTGCTCTCTCAGACTCAACCATTACCCCTCCATAGCTTCTGCAACACTTCAACTTTTTATTGTATGGATTCTCTGGTTTCACAAGATCCTCCAAGTTCCTCACTTTTGCTAATGAGGTGAAAGACTGTGCCTTTCCCTGGTAATACTTCGAAAGCCCCCTCCTGCATATTATCAACACACAACCTTTAGAAAGTTTTGTCATGTATATAACAACTAGTAATATCATCAATCATGATTTCTGATTCATGGTGTAATCTTTTGTATTCTAGAAATTAACTCTTATCGAACTTTGTAAACAAAGTGTTTGAAATTTTTACAAACTCAACAAAATATCATACAAAGAAGAAAAGGGGTGGTGGAGAAAGAAGCTTACTTGACAGGAAGTTGTTGAAACAAAGAAGACATATCGTTCAATGGCTCAGTTGCAATTTGATCGGGTGAAGAAGAAGACGAAGAAACAGGGGACGTAACTTCTTCAAACGAATCAGAATCCAAGGATGAAGCAGTTGAAATTTCGGACTCAGACTCAGAAAAAGAAAAAGAACGAGCGAGACCACATTCATCAATTGGTCCCTTGTTATTATCAGCTTCGACAACCTTATACTTTGGCTGTTCCATCTGGTACCAAATCTTGTTTCTCAAATACCCTTTTTGGGGTTTTAATGTTTAAACTTTATTGTTCTTGTTCGGAAGCAATAAAGCAGACGCAACGATTTGTTTCTGTGGCTAGCACTGAATGGGTGGAGATATGTAGGCACAGTTTTCTCTGTTCTAAAGGTGTGTTTTAAATAGAATCACAAGTACTCCTACTTTTTTGTGTTTGTGAAGAGAAGACTTGGACGGTTTATAAGGAAGGGTTTAAGATGTGTTGGATAAGATTAGTGTGTGCTATTTTTTCTTTATTTGCATTATCTATTTTATCACAATCTTTTTTGACAGATAGAGAGTAAGATTCGGCTTTATCCGAATATGATATTTGTTGTTCCCCCAACTGCAACTCCCACTGTGCCATCTTTCCATAGGCGGTGAATACAGTTAAAAACATATTTTTAACAATTATTCTTGAAATTTATTTTACGAAAAACCCAATAAAAAAAAATGAAAGGATATATATGATACTAAGGAATAAAAGTAATGATTATGAATTAAAAAGGGTGCATGGATTGTGAAATTGAGAAGAACAATGGATAAGGGTGAAGTCCTTGTAAGTTGTATATTGTATCCCACTCCATCCCATGTTGATGGAGAAGCAAGCACAAACAAGTGGATATCTCCAAAGCTGGAAAATGTCTTGGTGCGGTAAACCCAATGAACTCAGTTCAATGAATTCCGGATCTTGCGCTCATCCACTCGCCTTTTTTTTTTTTTTTTCATTAATCTTAAAAACAACTTTTATTATGTTAAGACTTAATTTAATGTATTTATTATATTAGCTTAATTATCTTTTTATCCAGTTACATCATCATTATTATATAAGTTATTGACATTTCTAATTTATTTTACATAGTTGTAAACTATTGTTATAATATTACATGGTTACCCTTTTACACCCTACCTTAGTATAAGATATCTTCTTTAATATACTTTATTAAATTTAAAAATTTCTCAAATTCTAAACTATCTTAATGTTAGATTGGGCATTTGATGTATTAGGCTTTTTATCTTAAACTTTAATTCGCTTTTTATTTGTTCTATTTTTATTATATAATTATTTTTGGTACGATCAATTCTTGCAGTATATTTATTACAGAAGGAAACTATTTACAAGGGGGTGGCGGTGACACAACTGACACATACAAGTGTTGGGTTGTTCGGGCTGCTCGTGGATTTGGGCCCCTAAGTCTTGGTTCATGAAGGATTAATGCATTTATTATTTACACATCTTATTACTGATATATCTTATTTTATATATCTTGTAAATTAAGTAATTACTGAAATCTTTATTTTTGTTAATGAAGTTGCTCCTTTAATTCATAAGTAAAATGTACACGACGGTGTAACGGGAACATTATTGTTCAAATAAGATAAAGATTGTCTCTTCGAAGGGAATTAATGTCCTTTTTTTCTTTTCTTCAAATTTGACTTCCAAAAATACTTTTCAACTCTGTTCTATAAACTATTTTTCGAAATGAATTGAATTTTTAATATTTTTTAAAAGTTTAAAAAATGGGTTAAGTTTTTTTATTGCAATCTAAAAATGGGTTAAGTTTTTATTGCAATCTAAAAATGTACTTATTGAACATTAGTTCATAAGTATTTTATTTACGGATATACGCCACCACCAAAATTTCTCAATCCTTAATCGATATGATTATAAAATTGGGTCTATTATTGTTTTATCAATTTAAATATTGTAAATGATAGTTGGCTATGGTTGCTTTATTATTTGCGTTTAAACCCAAACACTTGTCATGGTCCCATCAGGTAGCTAAACATTTATGAATGGTTCATTAAACTCTTTTTTATATCTTTATTTTTTGTAACATTATAACTAAATTCAAATATTTCTATTTCTCATCATGGTAACAAGAAACTTATAAAAGCCTGTTCATTTAATCTTTCAACTAATTTAATGATTAAATCCCCAATCTCCACTTTCTTAACACCGTTGTTATTTGATTTAATTAAGGAAAATTTGATTGAACTATTATTTATAAAGAAGATATATGTAATTATGTAAGAAAATATAATATTATTTTTAATTTAAATTTTAAAAAATTAAACTTGCAGAGTTTTTTATTTATATTATTTAATTATATTAATTCTACTAAATATAAAATCGTAAAGCCTAAATTTTACACCCTAATCTCTCTATATTTTAATTATAACCCATGAATCGTTCCTATATTAAGAAGGATTCAAGTTAACTCTTAATTCTTAATAGATGCTGTTAAAATTGGTGAGAAAATTGTTGAAAAAACAGCATAATCCTCAACTTTATAGGCATCATATCTTGCTGTATTTAAAAATTGATAACATTATCTGCTTAAAATTTATAGTAGTCGGTTTCATACCAATAACAATAAGCATTACTTTAGGATCCATTTAATACAATAAAAGAAAATAATTAATTAAATAAGTAGCGTGTCTTACCTTCCTAGAGTCTACTCTTTAATTCAATGTCATGTCCTCTTCCACAATTAATTACTCTCAACCGTCATGATATCAACGTTCCATTCAACAAACATTTAGAGTAATAAAAGATATACATTTATGTTAGCTTTATCAGATTTATTATTTTTTTCTCCATTTCTTCCCCCAAATTTACTTTTTTTAAAAAAAAAAAAAAACTCCTCTAACGCATGATTTTTGCCAAATTTTAATGAGAGAAGAGCACGAGTGAACTTGACTCATTGTAATGAAAACTGGAAAGTGATAGTTGATAGATATGGTTTGTTGATTTAGGTTAAGGCAAAGACTAACGCTTGGTGAAAGGGACGTTACCATTATATTTATAATTAACTTTTATTCAAATTTTAAAATAGTTATTCTTTTTAATGAAACATGAAGTTTATCATAGATTATTAATATATTAAATCCATTCAAAATTAATTTTGTAATCAGGTACTTAAACTTAAGAGTTTAATTTAGTTAAAGTGATGTAACTGTGAAAGAAAATGACCTTATACATAAAGTTGACTAGTATTTGGCTACTTGTGGAGTGAATGTGTGGCTTCCCTTGAACGACATGATGCACATTGAATTGGCCTTAATTAGGGTTGAATTGATGGAAGGGGTATATATGATAGCCTTATTCATGCACATTTCAAAATGACACAAAGGGCTATGGAAGAGGGAGGGGAAGTGCTTGAAAGTTGGAGATCTCGCAAACAACTGATAGGAGGCGAAGGAAATGAGGAATTGGAAGGCACCAACAATGGCGTTCTACGCGTTGTGGAGACGTTGCTGCGTTTGTTCACCATTGCTCTCTCTGTAACTGCTCTTATCATCATGCTTAAGAACTCTGAGAAGAATGAGTATGGTTCTGTTAACTACACCGACTTTAGTGCTTTCAGGTATTTCTATCAACTCACCACACACCTATTTTTTCTGCTGTTTTCAAGCGAACAACAAATTAATCGGATTAATATGTCAAAATTATGAACCAAAACCCTTAATTATTCTGACCTTTCTGGATTCTGTATCTTGCAGATATTTGGTGCATGCAAATGGCATCTGCGCTGGATATTCATTATTTTCAGCTGTTTTTGTCGCTTTGCACAGACTTTCCAGCGTGCTCAGAAATTGGACTTTCTTTTTGCTTGACCAGGTCAACTCATTTTAATCCCTTCTTATTACTATTTTTTTGTGAATGAAACACAGAAGTGATTTGTTAACGAGCATGGTACATCCAAACAAATCATTTCAATATTTTATAAAAAATATTAAATAAAAAAATTAAGTATTTTATATCTTAATATAAAACACACTTGATATTGTTCATCAAAATATGTAGTAAAAAGATTAGCAGGAAAGTATCATCGCCAAAAAGATAATCACTTTAATACCTTTTTGTAAACATTAATTTGAGTTGATATCAGGTGGGTTCTCGTTCTTAATGATTAATTAACTTATGCATTCAAAATAGAAGGAAAATATTATCAGTATATATAGTTTAATTTTAAAAAAATAGTGAAAATGTATTCCTAGTAATAAGAGTTTCCTTTAAATAATAATAAGTGTATAAAATATCGATTAAAATATAATTATTAATTAATTATTCAAGATAGTTAGGAAAAAATAATAATTAATGATAAGACTAAGAGACAGCCAGTGGATACATTAGGTGTAATAATTAGGTGGAAATATAGTTTACATTAAAATATTTGCTCAAATCTTAATTTTTTTATAACAGCAAAAGTTTTGATTAAAGAATTATAATAAGAATTTTTTTTAATTAGATAGGATACGTTTGTGTTTAGTTATTCTTTAGGACTAGGATATGTGACACAATTTATTCTTAACGAAGTGTTTGAACAATTTTATTTATAAATATTTTTTTATAAATTAAAACTAATTCATATATAGTTTAATTTGTAAATAATTTGTATATCTTTTAGAATTTAATGTTTGTATAAGTTAATTTAAATTTATAATATTTTTTTTCTTATTTGTTGTTTTTTTTTTTAATTATCCAAAGATGTTATATATCTTAAGCTACCTTTTTAACTCAGGAGAACAAGTCGAATGAAAACATGTAGAAAAATAAAAGAGGATAGTATAATTATTATTAAGTTGTTATATAAGAGAATTTTTTTTATTTTAATTGTGTAGAAAGTTTAAAAAAAATTATATATATACCCTATGAATATTGTACGGGTTAAGGTTCTAACTATTTTTATATTTATAGTTTGTTATTATTATTATTTAAATTTACGGTTCCATGTATAACATGATAAAATTTATTATACATATCTTAATAGGTGTTTTAAAAGAAAAATGATAACGTAACAATTTAGATCACCAATAAACCGAGCAATATATATATATATATATATATATATATATATATATATATATATAGAAAAGAGATTGTGAAATGTTTTTTTTTTTTGCATCTATATATGACTACCTGTTTTATATAGATATAAAAAATATTAAAATTATATAAAAACTTATTAAAAAAAGTACTTCTTATATGTTAAAAACACTGTTAACATTACTATAAAATATGAATATATAGCATGAAAACTTAAGAAAATAAATAGGTTTCCATTTGGTTTTGTAGGTTTTAACTTACCTAATCCTGGGTGCTGGAGCTGCATCAATGGAGATTTTGTACCTGGCTGAGAAGGGAAACCCTGCAACAACATGGAGCTCAGCTTGTAGGGCTTTTGGTCCATTTTGTCACAAGGTTACTGCATCAATAGCTATCACATTTGTCATTGTTATCTGCTGTACCTTGCTTTCTCTCATTTCCTCCTACAAGTTATTCAGCAACTATGATGCACCAGATGTGAGCAACCCCTCCAAAGGTGTTGACATTGCTGCTTTTCATGGCTGATCCAAAACTTTGTTCTTCTGATATGTGTTAGTGTGGACTCAGAAAGACATGTGAAATACAAATATAAGTGTTTCAAGTCTCCTTAGTGCACTGTTTGCTTCTCAAAGAATAATTTAGTCTCCGGTGTTACTATTATCTAATTTTAATTACAACTTTGCTTGCATAACTTGTGTTCAGATTTATATAAAATCTTTTTTAATGTGAATTGCTCATATGAAATGTTTTTAATTAAAGAATAATACTTTGAAAAAATTATGTGAGTGTATCTAAATTTTGGCCTTTGTAACCACACAATAATAATTACATTCAAACCTTTAGATTATCATATTAATGAAAAACAAAACGCTCCCAAGTATATCTTATTCCATTTTAAGAATATTTTTTAAAAAATAAATTGTCTATTTTACTCTCTTTTTTTTTTAATATTTTTCTCACAAATTAAAAACAGCACTCCAAAAAATTGATGGGTGGTATTTATTATTAGTGTGGACTAGTGCATATAATTAATAGCAGGTTCACATAAACTCATTAGTCATTACTAATTATATTTGTTTGTTTATAGTTAGATAAGTAAATTATTTTATCTAATATAAATTTAGAATATTTCTTAATATATTTATATTTTCATGTAGATATAAATTTTACACTTTCTACTAATATAGTTTGATTTGTTATTGATGCACATCTTATAAATGTAAAATATATCAATTATGTTTCTATTTTTTTTATTTTTAAAAATAATATATGATATATTTATTGTATTATAAATTTATAAAAATTTTATAAGTTGCATGGATATATATTGATAAAGAATAAAAGGAGCAAAAAAGAGAGAAAAAAATAAAATAATCAAAATTAGGCCTTAAAAAGGTTATTTCTAGTGTCAGTTTTCAAAAATAAATAAAAAAAATTATTTTATTATTATATTTTTTGAAAAATATTATTTATATAAATCATTTAAAATCTATATAATAAATTCACTTATGACTCATTTCATTTGGGGTTATGTTTAGTTTTTATTAGTATATCTTGATTTATATATATCATGAATTTGTTAAAATTTTAAAGTAAAATAATTTCATAACAGCTGTGAACTTTTTAGGAGGCCAGAGCTTCACCATATTTTTTAAATTTGATAAATTATATATATTATATATTTATAATTTTGGTTTCTAAACTTAATTATCGTTAATATATATATATATATATATATATATATATATATATATTTATAAATTTAATTATTCACTTAATTGTATTTTTTAACTTTTAATATTCTTTGGTCAAGATCTTGGTAATAACATAAGTCAACTTTAAAAAAACTAAAAAGCATGTCTAAACTTAATTTTATATGAATAAAAAAAGACATGAAGTTTTGCGGAGCCTATTAATAAGGACTGTGAAAATGAACAGAAAACAAAGTGAGTTACAGTAAACGTTTTCTATTTATAGTATAAAAAAAATTTAACTTAATTTCATAAACCTAATGAACATGTTAAATAAAATCCTTAAAATTATTAGACCTATTTATCTACTATTATTATTTAAATATATAAATTAAAAAATGGAAAATTGTGGCCCTATGAAAATCTATAAGCAGTAATTTTTTTCTAATTTGTTTTTTAACGTGAAAATCATATGAATAAGTATCTTTTGAAATTTAATTTCACTTATAAAAAAAATATAATTTTAATAGTAACGTATTTTAAAAGTTGATCGTGAAAAGAAAAAACAAAAAAACGACACTCACACTCATAATCATCATTGTTTAAAAAGTTTAGTTTCTAAAATTTTTTAAAAATTTTCTACGAGAGCATGTCTGTTGAACCGTTAATCGTTTCGTTTCCAAAGCCCCTCGTTATGATGATCATATAATGTGTTCATGCATAAGCAAGTCAAGAAACGCTGCACATCCAAATTAATGCGCCAAAACCTATGTTTCACGTAGTACCATGGACCTCGTAAATCCATGGTAATATATTTTTACAGCACAGTTATAAGCCATATATATATATATTCAATGTCTTAATTTTTATTTTTTTTCATTAATTGGATCCCTCACCATTAATCCATTAACCACATGCTGCAACACATTACCTCCGTCTGCGTGACCTGCAACAGACATAAACAATGTAAATTGTACTAACATAGTAAATTCTGAAACATGCTGACAAAACAATGTAGAGTATGCTAATAGTTTTTTTACTTCATATGAAATTACATTATTAAAACATGTACATTATTTTACCAGAATAAAAAAAATTGTCATTCATAAAAAATTAGGAAAATATATTCCTCCATTTACCTGGAGAAATTAGTAGCAACTTCAGACTTTTCACGTAAACTGAGAATCTTAAACCGTGACTCAGATTCAAGCAATTCAAGCTCAAAAATAGCATCCTTAATTGCCCGACTCAATTTCTTGTCCTCATCAGCATTATGGAAGCAGTCTCTTTTCTTAGCATCAACAACTAGCTTTCTCCATACAGAGTTGCTATTGGTTAATGTTGCAGCATTTCCTAATATCCAAAGACAATATCTGAAGTAAAAAGAAAAAAAATCCAATCAACTGTTGCATACTTATAATTACTAATTAGGAAAAAGCATGAAAGAATGACCAAAATTACAAGTAACATACCTAGCTCTGGTAAGAGCAACATTTGCTCTTTGCCTGTTGGAAAGAAAACCCACTTTTCCACGCCCATTAGACCTCACAGTAGATAATATTATAATATCTTCTTCACCACCTTGAAAACCATCGACAGAGCGAACACTAACAGAGAAGTAAGAATCAGAAACCGAAATGTACTTCTTTACCTTTTGCTGGATTTCATGGACTTGAGCCTTATATGGCGATATGATTCCTATGCTAACTTTCTTCCTGGTCTTCACAGACTCTGGAGATAAAAATAAAAAAGGAATTAATCATATTAAACTTTATTCGTCTTGTGTTAGTACCAGTATTAAATTTTACAAGGTCCATCAATTAAAAATCAAATAAGATATAACTTGGAAAGTAATAATTATAAATTTTTCCAATTAACATGAACTTAAACGATATAGCATGCAGTTCATTTTTAACAGATCCTCAATGACACAACAGAAGGAGAAAGAGAACGCAACCTTTTTTAAGGCTTCCAATAATATGGGAGATAGCAGCAACCTCAATTTTGTTCATCAAACTATAGTCCTGATTAGGCTGCTCTTTACCCTTAGAAATGTTTATAAAAGAGTAGGAAGTATAAATTTTCCCATCAAGAAAACGTTTGTCATAGCTTTTTCCTGTGACAATAGGAGCATCAGAAAGTTGCTGATCATAGAACTCTTTACTTGGAAACATGCTAATGGATGGATGCATTCTATATTGAACATTGAGCATATGCCTCCTGTACCCCAACAATACCAGCCTCTCAAACATACTTCTTCCAAATTCAGCCATGTCAGCAATCTGAAATTTTGATCAATTCATGCATATAAGACAAAAATATTCAATAGCCACAATCAAAATCGCATAATAATAATAAGACAAGTAAATCCTCTTGGGTACCTTGCTTTTGACCATTGCAGGAAGTTGTTTCTCATCACCTATGAGGACACCTCTACGTAGGCCGGGAAGTTGCAATGGAATGGCTGACTCACATTCTTTTAGTTGTGCTGCTTCGTCAATTACTACAAAACGGAATGGTTCCATCCCTTCCATGTACAATTTAGAAGAACTTGAAGCTGTACAAAAAACAAGGCACGCATTCTTCAAGCAAAAATTTGATATGCCATATTCGGTTCGAAGGTTGTTGGGAAGTGAAATTGACCGAGAAAGTATATTTAGGATCTCAAGACACTCATTTCTTTCGAAGCCTAACCATCCAAAGCGACCAAGAACGCTTTGTCCATCTTCACAATCAGAGAGTACGTGTTTGGACACGTTTTGGTACGTGGAAGCTTCAAGAGATTTTAGCAAATCGAAAGCTCTCAACATGCTCTTCAACACCTTCAATGGAATCAAAGATGTTGGCAAGTGCGTGTACAAGGTCCGCATGACTATCTTGAGATTCTCTGCAAGGAAACCGAACCTCTGCTTTATAAATTGCTCCATTGTCATACCAGCACTTAACTGCTTCTCATCTTTGTAGGCCTGGTATTGCATTACAATATAAGGGTACTTTTTCTCCACAAATTGCTCTAATGTCATTCGAGCACGATTCTTCTGAACACGTTTCTTATATGAACCATATGCAAGGTCTACATGAGTGCCACTTTGCTTCGCAAATTCTTCTAATGACAATAGGTTCTCCACCTTAACATCATGCTTGTATAAAACATATGCCTCTTTGGGTTCCTCTAGAAACTTTATCATTGATTCCAAGTAATGTTTCCACCCAATCATTGGAGAAAAACAGCGCAATAAATCATCAACACGATTGTCCAAAAACACTTCCGCAAGACCCTTGTAAGACTCAATTTTCATTCTAGAACTATTGCCAAATAACAGTATGTCACCAAGCCCATACGTCTTACAATCAAGTGACTCAACAGAACCCTTAACCAAACCATGCAATCTCCCAGCCACTTCCACGACTGCAGTGTTAGTTGGAGCGCACGCCAACGTTTTGGTTTTCAGCTTGAGAAGGGAAAGTAACAAGGAAGCAACTGTTTTCGTTTTCCCAGTTCCCGGGGGACCCCATATAAGTTTAATAGTGTCATTATGCTGACATTTCTTCATTGTGACACAGCTTAAAACTGCATCCTTTTGAGACTCATTCAGATTCTGAGCATCGATTATGTTTTGTGCAATAGTATAGGCTTGGCTGTTGCTACAATTTTTTCCAGAAAAGCAAACATGACAGTTTTCTCCGTTCTGTAAAATACAAAGAAAACATGAAGCGTGGAATTTTTTTCATAAATAATTATATTTTAGAGAAAAGACAAATCTGAGAACAAAATGTGCATGAACACTTCTTATAGAAGCCCTGAAGGAAGGTCTAGATCTGCATAGCGTTTAAGATAAACATAAATTGCCACATATAGAAAAATGCTTGAAAAGTGTGTAAATGGAAGTATGATATTGAATAACGTAACAGAAAAGCTTATCGAGAATGAATGATTTAGTGATTCTTACTGTTGAATAAGCTTTTAGCACTTTCTTAACAATGCTCTGACCTGCACCCTTCAATTTCGAGGTCAAGGCATTCCAAATACGAACATTTGTTGTCATGTTCAAAAGATCCACTGCATAAAGCTCTTGTACTTTGTTGCTTCTCAAGTCAATTTCAATATCATTTTCTATGAACTTAGATGTCAGTATACGGATTTCATTACTAAATATATCTGGTGGCTTCAGAACATAAGCAATATGCCAGTATTCTTTGGTCTTTTTCAAGTCATCTCTGCTTCTAGGTCTTATATTTGAGAATGCAATGAGATCTCCAGACTCAGGTTCGTATTTTCCTACACCTTTCACATCATCAGTGGTGCTCTTCAAGGTAATCTGATAGAATAAGGCATTGGGAAGTTTGAAGTCCTTGGACCTTTCAATCGTCATGATTTCACAAGAAGGAGCTTGAGACACACTTATCAAGCTTGAAGACAAATCACTATGTGTTTCCTCAATCAATGCAGGAATGAATGAATTCAAGTAATCTTTTTTGGAGCAGAATGTCGATGGAATCTTCTTCACCTGCGAAAAAACAACGTTTCAACAAACCACTGATCACATGCCTAAGGGACAAGGTTATCTTATATCACATCAAGTTGTTGAGACATATATAGGTTATTAAGGATGAACAAGTATATGCAGTTGCAAATCTTAAAAGGACTATGCGTATTTAATAGAAGATTACTGCAAAGTGATAAAGAAACCTTGTGCTTGAAAAGATTTTCGTTGATAACATCCTCAAGAGTCCAAGAGAATACAATATCTACTAAGTTTGCATGTTCAAGAGTTTCCATCCTTGCAACTCCTTACTGATCGATTAGCAGAACAAGCACAAAACTCTTTCTCAGCTTCACTTTGTTTTATGCACAGAATAAACACAAAAACATTAGTAGTAAAGGATTCAAGAAAGTAGGAAGTTCTTGCTCTACTGTATCAGAGAATTAATATTAAAAAATTAACAAAAAGTAGGAAAGTAAGAAATTATTTTATTTGTTAGTATTATATTAAGTAATATTAGACAACAAATACATTTTTTACCTAAAAAAATGCTATTATATAGTTTTTATTGAATGGTTATTTTTTCTACAAAATTCAGAAGTCACTTAGCAGTTAAGCAACTGAAAAGTTTCGGCGCACAAGGCCTGTTCATCAGCTAAAGAGCATTTATCCATGATAAAAACGGAAATTTTAATTTAAATTAAACCAGATTATCATGAGTACTGAATATTACTGACAGAAATGAAAAGCTACTTCAGCTCAGTAAAACGTCACGACTGTAGATATAACAGGTGGTAAAGGCAAAGTTGACCACTAACTGTATAGCAATATTAATATAGAACTAAATGAACATTGTTCTGTGGTGGAACCCAGAAAACGTTTTTCGTTTCTTCACAAATCAACTATACAATTATACAAATAATAACCCATCCTTTCAATTCTTCGTCAGGTATATCATTCATGGGAACAATCTGTTGGTGTTTGAAAAGTCAACATAAAGTTGGCCGGTGGTTGGTTGGAAAGTGGTTGGTTGGAGAGTGGTTGAATGTAAAGTGGTTGGAGAGAAGAAAAATTTGAAAACCTTATATACACAAAATGTATTCCTTTTGCTATATAAAATAATCTTTCACTTCGTTCATTTCTATCATCTAATTTGAAAGTAACCATTACAAAAGTTAACCAGAAAGAAAATAATCTAGCTTCTGGGGTGTAATTGGGTTAAGGATGGAGTGTTTTGAGAGTATTTTGTAAACACCTGTGTATTTTCTTTTCTCCTAGTAAAATATCTGCAGTAGTCCGGAGATGTAGGCAATTTTGGCCGAACTTCGTTATTAATTGGTGTGTCCAATTATTTCGTCTTTATTTCGTTTTTATTTCACTTTCATAGATCTGACTACATGGAAAAGTTCTGTGTATTTTTTCTAACAACTGGTATCAGAGCTGGTTGTTAACTCTGCAATTTTTGTGGTGACACTATTCATATAAATACTGAATTTACTATTCTGTGAATAGTAAAAAATTTTGTCGGTGCTACAAAATTATCTACAGATGTGTTCCGAAACACGGTAGTTCACAGAAATTGTTAAAAACGATCCAGAAAAGTTAGATCTGAGTTGGAGTGATGGCTGCAAATGAAGGAAAGGTGAAAATCGAGAAGTTCAATGGTGCAGACTCTGGGTTCTGGAAGATGCAGATCGAGGATTACCTGTATCAGAAGGATATGTTCGAACCACTCACAGGAAAGAAACCAGAGGGTATGAAAGAGGAGGAATGAACTATTCTCGACAGAAAGGCCCTTGGAGCCATTCGAATGACGTTATCCCGTAATGTTGCTTTTAACATTACAAAAGAAAAGACGACAGCAGGTCTTATGGATACTCTTTCCAGTATGTACGAGAAACCATAAGCCTCAAATAAAGTTCATTTGATGAGGCGGTTGTTCAATCTACGGATGTCTGAAGGCGCTTCAACGGTGCAACATATCAATGAACTCAATACTGTTACAACTCAGTTGAGTTCAGTTGGGATCGAGTTCGATGATGAAGTACGAGCTTTGATACTTTTGTCTTCTCTACCAGAAAGTTGGAATGCTACTGTCACAACTGTGAGTAGCTCATCGGGAAGCAATAAGTTAAAATTTGATGATATTCGTAATTTGGTTCTCAGAACCTCTTCAGTATTGCATACAGAGTCAAGAGGAAGAAGTTCAACCAAAGAAAGCGGACGTGGAAAATCAAAGGGCAAACGATCCAAGTCCAAAAATCATCGTAGTTCCCAAAACTCGAAGCAAATCGAGTGTTGGAATTGTGGGAAGATCGGACATTACAAAAATTAGTGCAAGAATGCACGAAAGAATCAAGAAGCGAAGGACGAGGCAAACGTTGCCTCTACCTCAGGGAAAGATGATGTGTTGATATGCTCTTTAGAAAGCAAGGAGGAGTCTTGGGTGTTAGACTCTGGAGCATCTTTCCATGCTACCTCACAAAAGCAACTGTTCGAGAATTATGTTCCCGGAAATCTTGGTAAAGTTTACCTTGGTAATGAGCAATCGTGTGAGATTGTAGGTAAAGGTACAGTAAAGATTAAGTTGAACAGTCCGTATTTGAATTGAAAAATGTCGGACATATTCCCGACTCGACGAAGAACTTAATCTCGGTGAGTCAGTTAGCCGATAAAGGTTACACAACAATCTTCCACGGTGATGATTGGAAGATCTCAAAGGGTGCGATGACAATTGCTCGAGGCAAAAAGAGTGGTACTCTTTACAAGACTCGAGGAGCATGTCATTTGATTGCAGCTGCAACAAATGAAAATCCCAATCTATGGCACCAAAGACTTGGGCATATGAGTGAGAAAGGGATGAAGATCATGCACTCAAAAGGAAAATTACCAGGTCTTCAGTCAGTAGAAATTGACATGTGTGAAGACTGCATACTTGGAAAGCAGAAGAGAGTTAACTTTCAGATAAATAGAAGAATTTCAAAGAAAGAGAGACTTGAGATTGTCCACTCTGATGTTTGGGGTCCAACGACTGTCCCATCCGTTGGTTGGAAGCAATACTTCGTGACGTTTATCAAAGATCACTCCATAAAGGTATGAGTTTACTTTCTGAAACACAAGTCAGAAGTATTTGAAGCTTTCAAGATTTGGAAAGCTATGGTAGAAAATGAAACAAGATTGAAAATTAAGAAACTCAGATCCGACAATGGTGGTGAATATGTAGACACCAGATTCAAGAAGTTTTGCTATGAGCACGAAATCAGAATGGAGAGGACCGTGCCTGGTACGCCTCAACACAATGGTGTAACTGAGCGTATGAACCGAACGTTGACTGAAAGAGCCAGAAGCTTGCGTGTACAGTCAGGCTTACCAAAGCAGTTCTGGGCAGAAGCAGTTAACACAACAACTTACTTGATCAACCGAAGTCCATCGGTACCATTGGAGCACGGAATACCAGAAGAGGTATGGAGCAGAAAAGAGGTAAAACTCTCACATTTTAGAGTTTTCGGCTGTGTAGCATATGTCTATATCAGTGATCAAGGTAGAAACAAACTTGATCCAAAATCAAAGAAGTACACTTTCATTGGTTATGGTGAAGATGAGTATGGCTACCGCATATGGGATGATGAAAACAAAAAGATGATCCGCAGCAGAGATGTAATCTTCAATGAAAGAGTGTTGTACAAGGACATGCATAAAACATGTATTAGCAATTCAGAATCGAGTGGACCAGTTTTTGCAGAAGTGGAAGATGTCCTAGAAAATCCTATAGTGAGGAGTCCTCAGTCAGAGGAATCAATTGAAGAAGGTGATGTGCAACCAGAACCTCTTACTCCAACTCCTGTATTGAGAAGGTCCTTTAGACCTCATGTGCCAAACAGGAGATACATGGACTACATGTTGCTGACTGATGGAGGGGAGCCCGAAGATTATATAGAAGCTTGTCAAACCACAGATGCTAGCAAGTGGGAGTTTACCATGAAAGAAGAGATGAAGTCTCTGATCTCCAATCAGACATGGGAACTAGTCAAGTTACCCATGGAGAAGAAAGCACTTCACAACAAATGGGTGTATCGGGTGAAGGAAGACCATGATGGTTCCAAGAGATACAAAGTCCGACTAGTTGTCAAAGGATTTTAGTAGAAAGAAGGAGTTGACTACACTGAAATCTTTGATCCAGTCGTAAAGCTCAATACTATCATAACAGTGTTAAGTATTGTGGCTAGTGAAGAGCTCTACCTAGAGCAATTAGATGTGAAGACTGCATTTCTTCACGGAGACTTAGATGAGGAGATCTATATGCACCAACCTGAAGGATTTTCAGAAGGAAAGAAGGATATGGTGTGCAAATTGAAGAAGAGCTTGTACGGTCTGAAACAAGCTCCAAGACAGTGGTATAGGAAGTTTGAAAGCTTCATGCACAAGGAAGGTTTTCAGAAGTGCAATGCCGATCACTGTTGTTTCTTCAAGAGGTATAAGTCCAGTTATATCATATTGCTACTTTATGTTGATGACATGTTAGTAGCAGGTTCAAATATGAGGGATATCAGAAATTTAAAGATGCAGTTGTCAAAGGAATTTGACATGAAGGACTTAGGACCAACAAAGAAGATTCTTGGAATGCAAATCACGAGAGATAAGCAAAAAGGAGTTTTGCAGTTATCTCAAGAGGAGTACATCAATCGTGTTTTGCAAAGATTTAACATGGACAAGGTCAAACCAGTCAATACACCTTTGACCAGTCATTTTCGTCTATCCAAGGATCAATCTCCTCAAACAAAGGAAGAAGAAGAAATTATGGCTAAGGTTCCGTATGTTTCAGCCATTGGAAGTTTGATGTACGCAATGGTCTGTACAAGGCCAGACATTGACCATGCAGTGGGAGTTGTGAGCAGGTTTATGGCAAATCCAGGAAAGGCTCACTGGGAAGCCGTCAAGTGGATTCTAAGATATCTACGAGGAACAACAAAAAAATGTCTGTGTTTTGGAAAAGGAAATCTAAGATTACATGGCTACGTAGATGCAGACTTTGGAGGTGAAGTTGATCACCGAAGAAGCACCACCGGTTATGTTTTCACGGTTGGTACTACAGTTGTTAGTTGGATGTCGCGAATACAAAAAAATGTTGTTTTATCCACTACAGAGGTTGAGTATGTAGCAGTGACAGAAGCCAGTAAAGAATTGATATGGCTTCAAGAACTATTAGCAGAGCTGGGATTCACTCAAGAAGGGAGTGTTTTGCATAGTGATAATCAGAGTGCAATACATTTGGCAAAGAATTCAACATTTCACTCCAGAACTAAGCACATTGATATTCGTTATCATTTCATCAGATCTCTACTTGAGGATGAGGTGTTAACATTGAAGAAGATCGTAGAAAGCAAGAACCCAGCAGATATGCTAACGAAGGTGGAGACCATTGACAAACTAAAGTTGTATTCAACTTCAGTTGGCTTGCAAGAGTAACATACCAGAGAATACTACTATATTAATCAAGGTGTGAGGACAAATTGAAATCAGTCCTCAAGTGGGAGATTGTTGGTGTTTGAAAAGTCAAAAAAAGGTGGCAAGTAGTTGGTTGGCAAGTGGTTGGTTGGCAAGTGGTTGGATGACAAGTGATTGGAGACAAGAAAAATTGGAAAGCCTTAAATGCACAATAACCATTTTTTTTGCTATAAAATGCTCTTTCACTTCACTCATTTCTATCATCCAATTCCAAAGCAACCATTACAAGAGTTAGCCAGCAAGAAACAGAAAGAAAATAATCTAGCTTATGTGTGTAATTGGGTTGAGGGTTGAGTGTTTTGAGAGTGCTTTGTAAACACTTGTATATTTTCTTTTCTCCCAGTAAAATATCTGTAGTAGTCCGGAGACGTAGGCAATTTTGGCTAAACTCCGTTATCAATTGGTGTGTCCAATTATTTCGTCTTTATTTCGTTTTTATTTCACTTTCATATATCTGACTACGTAGAAAAAGTTACGTGTATTTTTCTTAATACAATCATATCTAAGCGACTATGAAATGGAATATTATCAGGAAATGGACCACAGATAAAGTGAGACAAAGTGGTTCTTATTGTGAGAAAAGTAAAATACATGCATAAATTTGGTGTGTAAATAAGCTAGAAAGATCCTCTAAGTAATGAGATTTTGTCCTTATTGATTAGCAAAAGTAACGTGTCTACACGGTGTTAAGGAATAATTACATGCAGTGGAGGTAGGTTTATTGTTTTACCTATCGGGATTACCTATCGTGAATTAGAAAGGGAAAAGCCTCTGCATGGAATAAGTGGAGTCTAATAAGTGTAAGGAATCATCCCACCCCTTTCTTCATAGATAAGTAACCATTATTCAATATTTTTATTAATTGGTTTTTATAGATTTAAAATATAATAATAAGTAATATCAGACCACAATCTTTATGAAGAAAACAAAACATTTTTGTTAATTTAAAAATAAAAACCTCTGTTTGGTTATTAGGATAAAATTAATAACATTAGAATTTTTAATTAAGAATAAGATACTAGAGTGTTTAAACATAATATAGTTTATGTTTGAAAAAGAATCCCTGTTTATTCGAAGTACTATTGTGCGGTCTAATACATTGTCACGTCAATGTTTCTGTTCAGTACGACCAAACAAGCATTCCCATAAACTATTAATATTTCAATTAAAAAAAACACATAATTAAGATAATAAGAAACCAAAGTCGACCAAATAAAAAAAATTTCGAAATAATAAAAGAATGAAAAATATAATTAAGCCCAGAAAGTTAACTCAATTTAAATAAACCACTTAATTATTTGTAAAAACGACTTTTATGTTTTCTTTATCATTGAGATGTTACACTAAGATTGTAAACTTCTGTTTGGATTTGTTTATGGATATGGGAGAGTCAGTTTGAGGAGAAATCAAGCTATAAATGAAATTATTTTAATTAAATGAAAAATGGTGAGAAATGAAATAAATTAATGAAAATAAGAAAAAAATTTATAAATAATGTGATTGATTTGATAAATTTTAAAAAATATTTTAATTGATAAAATTGTAATATTATAATTTTATGTGTATGTTTAATAAGTAATTTAAAATAAGATATAATTAATATAAATTATGTTAAAATGAGACATAAGTTATTATTTAAAATATATTTTTTTAATTGATAAAATTATATTAAAATAAAATAAAATCAGTAAAAATTATTTTCAAATAAATTGTGAGTAATTATTTTAAATAAAATAAAATTATAGTTTGAATTGATAAAATTGTTTAAATTAAATTATGGCTATTTAAAGTTAATTTAAATTAAAGTGATAGTAATTTGTTAAAAAATATATTATTTTGTTATAAAAAAATTACGTGTAATTATTCATGATAAAAAATAATAAATTTTAATCAATTATGAAGTTAAATAATTGAAAAAAAAATGAGAGAGATGGATTGGGAATGTAAAATGATAAAGGAGAATTGATTATGGAAATTATAGAAAGACAATAATTGATTCTGCTTGGTAATTATAATAGTAGACAATTAATTCAATCCAAAAAAATTAAAAATAATGAAATTGATTCTCTAACCTTCAGTTTCCCTTGTTCATCACTATGTCTTATATAAATTTTTGCATGCTGCAAATGCATGTCATGCACAGTTAAAAGCAATAAAATCAAACGTCACAATACAAAAGTAATAGGCACAGTTAAAATTTGAGGATTAAAACTGTAATTTAATATCATATAAGTTGATTGTATACTTTCTTTTCCTCGTTTGAGCAAAATCTTCTTTCTCAATCTTGCAAATTCATCATTGTATTTCATTATATACATAAAAGAAGCTAAATTTTTGTGGGTGATAAGAAAAATAAACTAAAGAAGGAAGATATATTCAGAAAAAAAAAAAAATGTCGCTTCAGCAATTCCCTGTAGACAATGTGAAGATGACTAGCCCTAAATTAGCATCCCAAGATCCATCCTGTTTATTTTTCTATTTGATGGTTCCTCTTCTTATTTAGGTCGTTTCATATTCCCATCCTTGAAATTATGAACGATAATGATAGGAAGTAATTGTAAAGTCGTAAACCAGTGCACCAGCGATGAAGTCATCTGCAAAAGTTTTTTTGCTTGTTATACTTGTACAGTGGTTCTTGACAGCTACTAATAATATTTTTTTGTTTTTAGCAAAAACTCTAATAATAACAGTTGATTTTTCAGAGAGAAGTTTATGGTGCATGCTGAATGGTTTCATTTCCAAGGCTCACGTACACCCAAATTAATTTTCCAACAAAATAGTGAAATGCGATGCATAGGAAAAACCAGTCTTCATAATATTGTGACAGGTTTGTTTTGTTTTCTTGAAAATCGCTTTTTAAAAGAAAAACAGCAAAAACACTTAACTTATTTCATGAGAATATTTTCAAAGAATTTGATTTTTATCACTGCGTACCTTAATTTTTCAAAAATAGTTTTTATTTTTTAGTTTAATCTTATGTGTGCCTACAGTGTTTACTATTTTATTTTCAGTTTTTTTATTATTCTTGTTTATTCATACACTTTAACTTCTTTTTTCCCAACTCTTTTTACGCTACCTAGTTAACAATTAATTTCTCATTTAAAATCTATTAAATTTTAAAATTTGTAATCGGAAAGGTTTTAAAACCAAACAAAAAAACTAGGTGGGAGATGTTCTCTCACATCTTCCTATGTTTCCACCTTATTCAATATCTACTTCAATTTCACAATGTGATAAGTGCCTTGCATCACCTTCTTATTTAGTTGCATTAAAAAAAAAAAAAAAAAAGTGAAAACCATTTATTTATGTTATGCTTACAAGCAAACTCATTTTAAGGAGCTTTTCCCATCCTTTCTGAGTTGTTTCTCTCCGATCTCACATCCCCTTCACATTCCAGTGCTGAAAGTTGCCCTCTCTATTCTGCACCATGGAATGGCTTGAAGATGTGTTGCCTTTGTCCAAACATGATTCTTCTATTGGAGAGTGAGAATTGTTACATATATTTATACGTATAAATATAATATAACGCTTTTAACATTTCTCTTTTTCTTTACTGTGATGTGCTGCATGCTCATGAGGATGACTATAATGATCTTCAACACGAAACTTTTATTTATTTATTGTGTTATTTTGGTCTTATGGGTAGTAGAAATTTTGAACAAGGTCGGAACTTAAGTTCTTTAGTTCTTAAGTGGAATCATTCACTGTGTACACGTGTTTTAGTTTAAGCCTATGAAATGGAAGGAAGTTGATTAATATCGTTTTTGCAATTGTTTTCCTTAGAGCTGAGAAGAAAGTAGCCAGTAGAGAACAAAGGATGAGAAATATCATTTGTGATGCAACAGATGAGGATGGTGATCCCAGCCTTTTAGAGATTGTATTCTCTTGGAATCTTAAGGATGCTCTCAATGAAGATCTTTACAAAAACAAGGTTCTTTTACTTACTCCTTGGAGAAAAATTCTTTTTAGTTTCATGAAAAATCTTTGGCAAAATCTCAGGTAAAACTTTTTTACAAGGATGCTCTCAATGAAGATCTTTACAAAAACTTTTTTTTCTCAGGTAAAAAAAATACCGGAGACATTTAGATCTGCATCTAGTTACTTGAAGTCCTTCATCTATCCGTTGATCGAGGAAACGCACTCTGATCTTTGTTCAAGCTTGAAGGGTGTATCTCGTGCTCGTTTATGTGAAATCAAGACGGTTGAAAGCAACAAGTTCTTTAAACCTCCCAAGGACCTGTTGTATCTGATAACATTGAAGAATACATCTGATGAAGTAGAAGATGAGGAGGAGGAAAATGCTAGCAAATATGTTCCTGAGGCAGGAGATTTATTTGCTTTAACAGATATTAAACCCAAAAGAATTGATGACTTGAATAGGCCTGGAAGATTCTACCATATTGCTTATGTGTGTGGCCCAAAAGATTCAAATGATGAAATACCAATACAGTCATCGAAGCACATGGAAATGGATATAAGTGACCTTAGGAGCAACAAACTATATGCAACATTTCTTCTGAACCTGACCACAAATATTCGTGTTTGGAAAGCACTGAACTCACAGTTTGAGAGTGACAATACGAACATCATTAAGCAAGTGCTGCAGCCAGACCTAAATGTAAGAATCGTTACATCCCCTTTAGTCATAATGGAATTTTCTGTTTCTTAATGACATAATGTGCTATATATGAATTTACCCAGTTAATTTTCTTAGAATTGCAACTCTTACTTAGTGCTAAAAGTTTATTTTTGTTCCTTTTATATAAATTTCAGAGAAGATTTACTGTTGGGTTAAATTGTAACAAAAACTGTCTAGCTATATAAGGTGAATCTCCGCAAAAATAGAGTAAAAGACTAAAACAGAATTTTTTGTATAATGTATAAAACTTAAAATAAATACAAATTATATTTTTATTCTCAATCCTTGAAATTAGTTTCTCAATAGTTACTTTATACTTTACAGGGCGGAGAAATTTGTAAAAATTGCCTGTCTGGAGAAAAGGACACACTTCACGCTGCCATCGATGGATATCTACTACCATCTCAGAATCTGAATAAATCGCAGGAGGAGGCTGTTTCAAGCTGTGTTAATATGATAAATTGTGGCCACAACGATATTAAACTAATATGGGGCCCTCCAGGAACTGGAAAAACAAAGACTCTTGCTTGCTTATTATTTTGTCTACTCAAGTTAAAACACAGAACATTGGCTTGTGCTCCAACTAACACTGCAATTTTGCAAGTGGCTAATCGGTTTCATGGTTTAGTTCATGGTTCACTTGGGTATAAAACATATGGTTTAGGTGACATAGTTCTAATGGGCAACAGATCGAGGATGAAATTAGACTCTAGTTCGGGCCTTCAGGATGTGTTTCTTGATCATCGTGTGGAAAATCTAGTGAAGTGCTTTGCATCATTGTCTGGTTGGAAGCATACTGTAGAATCAATGATCCAGTTATTTGAGGACCCTGAGAAACAATACTCCTTGTATGAGAAAGAGAAGGGTGTTATGTCATTGGAAGATTTTGCTCTGAAGAAAGACAGTAGCATAGGATCTGCATTTCGTGTATACATTCGATGCATGGCGAGTAATGATACTATGACTCTTACGGAGTACATAATGCAGAAACGGAAAGACATTGTGGATAAATTTCGATCTGAACAAGAAAGAATGAAGAGTATCATGACAATTCAGCAATTTGTAAAGCAAAGATTTGAAGAGTTAACAAAGAAGCTCAAGTTCTGCATGCAAACTTTGTATACACACTTGCCTAAATCTTTTATTTCGTTGGAAGAGGTGAAGAAAATGTTTCAAGTTATGGATTTGTTAGATTCTATTGAAGTAAGATTGAGGGTAAGTCTATTTGGTGTTGGAGAAGGAAAAAACCTTAGTGATTGCTTTGGATCATCAGGCAAAATGTGCCTTAGTTTACTTAGTTTACTTTCGAAGTCAATATCCCTTCCAGATATTCCTGAGAAAGGTGGAATAGAAAAGTTTTGCTTGACGAATGCCAGCATAATTTTATGTACCGCCTCAGGTTCTATTAAACTGAATACAGAAGGGATTAATCCAATAAAATTTTTAGTAATTGATGAAGCAGCTCAGCTTAAAGAATGTGAATCCGCTATTCCGTTACAGCTGCCTGACTTACACCATTGCATCCTAATTGGTGATGAGAAACAACTTCCTGCATTGGTCAAAAGCAAGGTAATTTTACTTTGGGTTTTGGTGTTCTTTATCGTTGTTAAAAAGTAAAATTATTGTCTAATATGTGAAAAATTATAATAATTTAGATTGCTGAAAAGGCTGAGTTTGGAAGGAGTTTGTTCGAGAGGCTTGTACTTTTAGGATACAGGAAACAAATGCTAAATGTTCAGTATAGAATGCACCCATCTATTAGCTTATTTCCATGCAAAGAGTTCTACGATGGGAAAATTTCTGATGCCCCCAATGTCATGCAAAAAAGTTATAACAAGAGTTTCCTTGAGGGAGAAATGTATGGATCATTTTCTTTTATTGACGTAGCTAAGGGTAAAGAGCATTTTGGTCGTGGAGGATTTAGTTCGAAAAACATGGTTGAAGCTGCTGCCATTTCTGAGATTATTGGAAGCCTTAAAGAAGGTTTTATCTCTGATTTCTTGGTGCTCTAATTGTATACTGCATTTTCTTTTTTCAGGCAAGATATCTCTATATTTAGAAGTTTGAATGTGCTATGCTGATGCATATTAGTTGTTCAATCTTTTTCTTGGCAGAGTTTCTGAGGACAAGGAAAAAAGTTAGCATAGGAATCATATCTCCATACAATGCTCAAGTGTATGAGATTCAGGAAAAAATTAAGAAATATGATTCCCCTTCTTATCCGGACTTTTCTGTTACCGTTCGTTCTGTGGATGGATTTCAAGGGGGTGAAGAAGATATCATAATAATCTCCACTGTGAGATCAAATGGAAGTGGAAATGTGGGTTTCCTTACCAATACACAAAGAGCAAATGTTGCTCTGACTAGGGCCAGGTATGGTACTTAGATATTCTGGTCATTCTTTGGTTGCTTCTTCCAAGTTGGAAGTTAAACTGATTGTTTATTTTAATGCAGATATTGCCTTTGGATATTAGGAAATGCAGCTACTTTAGTCAGCAGTAACTCTGTATGGAGAAAACTTGTTCTTGATGCTAAGAAAAGAGATTGCTTCCACAATGCTGATGATGACAATAGATTGGCTCGAGCTATTGACATGGCTGTGTTTGAGCTTGAACTGCTACAAGAATCTGATTCACGATTTAAGAAACTGAGCTTAGCTGACAAGTCAGAAATCCCTATCAAACTCGCTAAGTGAGTGTGAATTTAACTTCATAATTTTACAAGTATTCATATGAAATAGTAATTAATGTTTAATACACAACATTCATCTATTTATATGTGCTGAATATTTTCTGTTTATACTTATTATTTGTGTATCTTACTAAGTTTCTTTATGAGACAGGGCTCGAAAACCAAGGCAGTGAGGTATGGAGTTTGTGTTTTTTTGCGAGGATATTCGATCTTTCAGAAAGTCAAGATGGTGATTTTGGGGCATAGTTAGTGACAGTTAGTTTCATGTTATGTGTTATCAATTAAGTTTAATTTCTGCAGTAGACATATCTTTCAGTCATGTGTTATCAATTAAGTTTGCAATTTACTCTATTTATTATAAATGGATATATATATATATATATATATATATATATATATATATATATATATATATATATATATATGAAAGGATATAAAAAATAAAAAGATTTCATTCAATCTTTGATGTGATATCAATTAAGTTTAATTTAAAAGATAAAAATATATAAAAAAATAGGAAATTACTCTAATTATTATAAAAGGATATATGTATATATATAAAAAAAGGATATATATATATATATATATAACGATGAAAGGATATAAAAATTATGAAAAAAAAAGATGTTATTTAATCTTTGATGTGTTATCAATCAAGTTTAATTTAAAAGACAAAAAGATATAAAAAATAGAAATTACTCTATTTATCATAAAAGGATATATGTATATAAAAAAATATAAAAAGTAGGAAATTACTCTATTTATTATAAAAGGATATATGTATATAAAAAATAGGAAAAAAATATGAAAAAAATTAAAATAAAAATCTTTGATGTGTTATCAATTAAGTTTAATTTAGAAGATGAAAAGATATATGTATATAAAAAAATATAAAAAAAAGGATATATGTATATATAAAAAAAAAAACTTCGAACAGAGTTTACATGATTAGAAATTAGGGATGGCAAAATGGGTTAGGCTCACTGGGTCAGTCATCGCCACCGCCATAATATGGCTGGGCGGGTTGGTGTTTTTAGTCCATCAGCCCGCTTTGGCCCGCCCCACCAAGCCCGTCAACCTGTCGGCCAACCCGCGGACTGGGTGGGTCGACCTGCAGCTCGCCTAATTAATAAAAAAATAAATTTTTATTGTAATAAAATTAATTACAAAGATAATATATAAAGTTAAAAATTTTAAAAATAGAATTAAAAAAGTTTCATTCTTACGTAAAATATTCTCCTTCCCGACATATAACATTTTCTCTTGTTTTCCTTATTTATCCTAAGCACTCGATTATTTTTATCCTTATTACTTGAATTAAAGGTGTAAGAATTACTCAACCAAGAATAATACGAAGTTTTATAAAATAAAAAAGATACAGGTATTTGAATTTTTCAATATAAAAAATATAAATTTTATAAGTTTAACATTATTTATATATATATATATATATATATTTGTTATTATTTATTATTATGTAAATTTTATTATTGTTCTAAATTATAATTTCTTAAAATAATGTATTGATTTATATTATTAAATTGAAATAATATATATTGAATTATTGACAAACAAATAATAATCTTATTATTAAATTTATTAAAAAAAGTATTTAAAAAAAATTATTATTTTTTTAATTATGGCGAGCCAACCCGCCAGCTCGCTAACCCGTCCCTTGGCAGGACGAGCCAAGGTCTACAGCCGTCATGATTATATCGGTCAGCCGTCCGCCCGCTTTTGGTGGGCTAAAGCGGACAGAGCCAAACGGGCAGGCTGACCCATTTTGCCATCCCTATTAGAAATCATGCCGATAACCGCTCCGGCAGGTCCACCTGATGTTAAATTTTATTTTTCAATAAGTAATAACAACTAAATTATGTATAATAACATTTTTTGTTTAAGTAGGAAAACTATCTTGACATGAAATATCTATTCAATAGGTCATTTTATCATTGTAATAATAATATAATTGAGTTGTGTTATAGAAAAAAAAAATTTTTTTATATTTAATTTAATTTGTGTTACAAATAAAATAATTTAATTTATATAAAAATAATTGTTTCACAATCAAAGTAACTTCAAATAATTCCATGTTATTTTGATGATTTGAGTGATTTCATTAATATTTATAGGGTGGATGATAATTTTTTTGTTTTTTTTTTAATCGCACTGATCTATTTCAATTTAGAATTTAAAATTAAAAATTACACGATCATTATTAGCGAATTGCATTCTGTTGAAATTTCCAGTTTTGAAGCTAATGAATATGAATAAACTACTGACCTGTCATCCATATTAAAATAAATCAAAAGATTATTTTTTTCAGAATTATAAAAACGAAAAAAAAGGCTTATAAATTTAAACTAAAATGTTTTTTTATAAAAAATAATTATATGTAAATAGTTGATAATTATGTACAAATATATAAAATTAATTTTGGTATGAGATATCGATAAGTTTTTATCTTATTTCTTAGAATTTTACTTATATTTATTGAACAATTTTATTTAATATGAATCAATTTTAAAATCAATCAATCATATATGATATTAAAATGAATTGATTTTAAATTAAAACATAATATTATATATTAAAATATTTTACTTGAGATTATTATTTTTTATAATATTAACCATTAATCATATGAATAACTATATTTTTTTCTTCACAAATATTTTATCTATTTTAATATATTTTATCGAATATATTTTTAGGACATATATTATACGATGGGAAGATGAATATTTACAAATATTTTATTTATTTTATTATATTTTATCAAGTATATTTTTAGGATATATACTACAGGTTGTGAAGATGAATATTTACATCTTATAAGAAAAACATTAGTTATAAACTTTCACAGATTTAATTGGTAAATTAAACTTATTATCACTAATAAATATAAAATATAAAGTATATAAATATTATATCAATTGACAAATATATATATATATATATATATATATATATATATATATATTAATAATGAGTTCTTTTTAATAATAATTATTTTTTTAGGTTTGAACTTGTAATATTTTAAAATATACGTACATTCATATATTACACTAAAAAGTATGTATAAATTAGTTAACAAAACACACTGTATAAAAAAATCGAATTGATTTGCAAAATTCAAAAGAAAATAACTACAGGTAAATTTCTGGTTACTCATTATTAATTGCTTATGGAAAAAGATGAAATGAGAGGCTAATTTCTATCATAATCTAGTTTATTTGTACCAATAAATAATAATTAATGATAACTTAATAAAAAAATCAGACTAACTTTTATTATAAACAAAATTATTATTATTATTATTATTATATTAACTTTATTATTATTATAATATATTTTTAAGTTTATTTAATGAAAAACTAATTTTACTTGTATTATATTAAAATAATAAGTGAATGTAAAATATAATTAAACTAATAATATTTCAAATAAAACGGTTAAAGTACATCTAATTTTATCTTAAACCTTGTTTATATTTTTCTCTACCTTTCACATTATATATCTAATAAACATTTTTTTTTTAGAATGTTAGTATAAAGAGGTCTAATAACAAGTAAAGAGAAAGTAATGAGGAGGTAGATTGGATATAATTGTATTAAAGATATAACTGTATTTAATGTAAAAATTAAAATATAGAATTGCATTACTTAGACACAATATCTATGATTGTGATTTATAAGGCTAACTAATCTCACTCAAATAATATTAGAATATAATTGTTGAATTATTATCTAACATAATTTCTTAATTTAACAATCAATTTAATATTCAATTTTTGTTCTCAATTCTTTTAATGTTCGATTATTCAAAGGTTTTATTATAATTTCCGTTAACTACTCTTTCTTCGCACAATGCTTACTTCAACTTTCTTATTTCATCTCCGATGAAATGAAATTTTAATCCGATATGTTTGTTTTTCTCATGATGAATTAGATTTTTTTGTTAAATTTATAACTAACTTATTATCAATATTTAGTGTTGCAATTTTCTCTAATTTTCTAAGGACTCGATTCATCAATCAAACTCTCGATCTACAATGCTTGATAAATTGTTTAAGCAAGTAATCATGTATTCGGTTTCACAAGAGGAGAGTACCACAACAAGTTGTAAATTCAAGCATCATAAAATAAGTGATTTTTCCAATAGGAATATATAACCTGATGTGCTTCTGAAACCAATTTTATCTCCAGCCTAGTCAAAATTAAAATATCTAACCAACTTTTCTTATTCCGATGTGTAGCATTTGGTATAAATAAAATCAATCGTCCTTTTAATATATTTCAAAACCTTTATAGTTATTACAAGATGAGATATTTTAGGTTTCTTCATAAATCTATTCAACAATCCAACACCAATATAAATATTTTTTTAAGTAGTCAATCATCTGTTTATAAACAGGAGCATTTACAGACTTCTCATTTTTATCTTTGTAAAGTTTCACATTTGACTCCTTTGATGTAATTGTCGCACTACACTCACTCATCCTAAATTTCTTGAGTACTTCTTTGACATGTTTATTTTGGTGAATCAAAATACCTTTCTTGACTTTCATAAATTTTATTCCCAAAAAATATGACAGTTTTCCGTAAATCGATAATCTCAAAGTGATCTTGTATCATTCTTTTAAAATTATGGATTGAGGTAATTTTAATGTCTGTAATCAACAAATTATCGATATATAACCAAATTATTAATACATCATCTCCTTCGATCTTCTTCAAAGTAACATGACCCATTGTTAACTCCTTCAATCGAGTAATAGATCTACCTCCGCTTCTATCCCTCGGAGACGTCGAATATGACATAATCCTAAAAAAAATAATGATTAATAAATTTCAATAATATATATATATATAAACAACCAAGGGACTTAAACAAATAAACTGTAGAATCATATCAATGTAATGTATAAATCTTAGGTGCAACTAAACAAATAAAACAACAATAATAAATAATAATAGTTTAATCTGAATAATAATACAGTGATGATATTTATGTGCTTGAGATTCCTAAAACCAATTATAGATTCAATTTAAAAATAAAACTAGAAATATATATATTACTAACCTAAAAAATAATCAAGACGCTCTAAATTGAAATTCAATTTGAAAAAAATGTCAACCACAAAAAATAATGGTGGCTCACCGTAATTAGA